TTGTGTTGATCCTTATCTACTGCACATAGAAGTTTCTCTGAAGAAAGCAAAGAGAAGCATTAAACTATGGGCATAGCAATTCATCAATAGGAGTAAATTTAATATTATGATTATTTAGCAGGAATAGTAGTAGGTTCTTCCCTAGGTCTTATGACCTGCCTAGTCACTGCTTCTTAGATCAGTAACTGGGCCTGGTATTGGTTTCCTCTTGCAGTGCGGGGCTTAAATTCCATCAGAAAGTCACGGTTACACCTAAGATGTTTATGCCACTCTTGCACTGGAGAGCATGTTTGAAGGCTCGTTGTCAGGGTGGTTTGTAGGGTTCACAGCTGGGTAAGATTGATGCTTACTTTCTTCCTACAACAGGATGCATGACACCTTCCAGGGCTGTGAGAGCTGGCTAGTATGGAAGAGGTGTCCAGATGATAATCGGGGTAATAGCTCCATGTTCAGGGATGACAGTGCATGGTGTCTTCACATCCTTCAAAACTAGGGTCTTACAATCATGTTCTGGAGGCTTACCGAACACACTGGCAACAGCCTGCAGTGTTTAGGATCTTACTGACTAACAATTCCGAAAGAAGAAACCCATTCCTGTCTCTGGGTTTTTTCATTTGTTAGCTTGTGGTGTCTAGCAGGGGTGTTGCTGTTCTATTATGTTGTGACTGCTGATGTGTATGTGTGTGTGACTGTGTGCATGTGTTTGTATGTGTGTGTCCCTGTGTGTGTCTGTATGTGTGCATGTGTCTGTATGTGTGTGTATATGTGTGTGTTTCTGTGTGTGTGTCTGTACATATACATGTGTCTGTTTGTATGTGTGTGTGTCTCTGTGTATGTTTGTATGTGTGTGACTCTGTGTGTATCTGTGTGTGTGACTCTGTGTGTGTGTCTGTATGTGTATGTGTGTGTGTTTGTATATGTGTATCTGTGTGACTGTGTGTATGTGAGACTGTTGTGTGTCTGTGTGTCTCTCTGTGTGTTTGTATGTGTGTGTGTGAGACTCTGTGTGTGTATGTGTGTGTGTGTCTGTATGTGTGTGTGTGTGTAAGGGAGCTTCAGCAGTGATAAGCAGGTTTCCATCTGACTTTTTAGAAGGGTGTTTAGTCATTTATGGCATACTCATTTCTCGTTGTCTTTAGTGAGACCCCTTTCTTGCTGATGCCATACTCTGAGTGTTATTTCCACCACTTACTTCTGTTACCAGTTTCCCTGTAGTTGGTCTTAGTAAAACTACCAACTACGAGTTTGCTTTTTAATTATTTTCTCCTCTTGTAATTGTTATTATTATTCCTTACCTTTAAAGACCTAAGTTGTTCCTTGTTAACTTCTTGGCGCTGGCCTTTCCAAGTTCACGCTTTACCTTGCTCAGTACTTGTGTGGAAGGCTGCGCGTTTCTCTTCAGCTCACCTTGGCAACATCCTCAGACTTTCCCATGCACATCAATCACGTTTGCATTCTTATGAGGTCACGTTTATATCCAGTGCCGTCCTGAGCATGCGGAGGTCAGAGGACAGCGTGGGGGGTTGCTTACCTCCTTCTATCACGTGGGTCTTTGCGATGAAGCTCAGGCTGTCCGTGCTGGGGTCAAGTGCCTTTCCCAGGCCCTTGAGCTACTTTGCCAGTCCTGTGTTCTTATTTATTCAAATTACTTTTGCTTACACCGTGCTCCTTGGCTGAGATTGCGCAGTCAGCTTTGTGAAATGACTGTGGAATTGTCTCCTTGGCCCCGTTGGTCGAGCTGTTTACGTTTCATTTACTTTTGAGTCTACGTTATTGGTTATGTGTGATTTAGAATCGCTTACTTTTTATAAGTAATGAAAAGAAGCATGAAGCTTTCATTAGTTAAAATACTCTTGGTACGTATTTTTCTTCTGCGTATTTACTTTTGGGTATCTTTAACAAATTTTATATATTTGGATTATAATCCAGTGTGATGACTTCCAATATTTAAGTAAGGCTTTCATTTTGATTTTATTTTACCTTGCTATTTTATCTTATTGCCTTGCCCGTTTCATTATTATCTTAAGATGAGATTATTCTATGCAGCCAAGGCTGCTCTCAGACTTGTTAGGTAGCCTATGTCGCTCTTCGGTTCATCAGTGTGCCTTTGTCTCTCAAGTGCGGGGACTATCACAGTGAATATCACAGGTCCCACCACACCTGGCTGAAAACACCTGGATCTGTCATGATGTCATTGACACACTTGGCTTTAAATCTATCATTTAATCGGCCCTATGTCTTTATTTTCAATTTCCCTTTTTAGCTTATTTGATTTGACTGTTACTCTCCCACAGTTACACACCTGATATGTTCAGCGCTATCATGTGACTCCGAGACAGCCTTCATCTTTAACTCAGAAAGGGCCGATTTTAATTGACATTTTAATACTCTTTGACCCCTAGTTCCGCTAAACAACATTATTTGAGTATCTTTTATCTATGAATTCTCAGTTGTGAAATGTTATTTCTTTCCTATTTTGGTACTTCTACTTGTATCCCTGTCTTGTTTTGTCTTTGATGGTCCAACGCTGCAATCTCATCACTGACCGTGATCTTGGGGTTCAGGAGAGCCTGCATTAATCTCTCTCAGGATGACTTGTGTCACTGGTTTGGCCAGTCTCCAGTTTCACGGCTGCTCCCACGTCCTGACTTCAGGTAGCTGCCCTCCTCCAGCTGCCCGCCAGTTTTCTGTCTCTGTCACTCAAGTTTTGCAGCTTCTACTAGGCTATGGGTAGTGTTTGCTTGCAGAAAATTTACACGGCGGACTAATCCAGCCATGCGCTAAAGAGTATTGTGTCCAGAGTCTGTGGATGCAGAGGGGCCTGCGCTCTGCAGCCCATTGTTCCAGAGATGATGGCTAGGAGTTCCTGTCTTGGCTTCTCCCCAGGCACAGTTCCAGTGTCCTGTGTGGTGCTGTGAGGTACAGCACACCCTTTTCTGTACTGTGTATCATGGATGGAGATAGCGATGTGCACAGATGTCACGTACACACAAATGCCAAATGTATTCCACTTGCCGACTTTATCCATGCTAAATGGAATCACTGTGTATTTGACTTACCACCTTATATCACAAGGCACAGCATTCTTATTTTCCTTATAACTTGACTTTTATTTAATTATGAGGTCAGATATTTTGAAAAGTGTTACTTGGTGGAATGTTCAAGTCCGTTGAAGATAATACTTTATCTTTTCATACTGCACACATAGGTTTTGAGATTTCATGTGATATCAGGCATCTGCATGTACACATAAGATGCTCATAGTACACTGTGGATGAATGTACACATTGGAGCATCTTTATATATCATCGGGCAGAAAATCTTAATGTAAATTGGACAAAAGGTTAAGTTGGATTCAATTTTTTACATGTTCATTATCATTTAATTAAATGTGGGCTATGTTGATTCCTGGCTAGTAAAGGTATTTATTTAGTCTCCTCTGAGACTCAGCCTGTGTTTTTCTTTGATGGTCCAAGGCTGTAATCCAAATGGGTAAGTGTCACATGGTCAGGTTGACAGTCAATCTAATGGGATTTAGAGACAGAATGGCCATGACAGCATTTGCAGAACAGTTTACCTGAAGAGCAGAGTCCTTCCCTAAATGTGGATGGTACCATTCCATGCACCAAGGTCCTAAATTATTATTAAGGGTGAAACAGATTGAAGCGTTGGCGTTCATCTCTTCCTGTTTCCTGAGAGTGGAGGCAGAAAGACCAACTTCCTCATGCTTCTGTTGCCATCCTTTCCTGTCATGACAGACTAGACCATCAAGTTCTATGCCCAAATCAACTCTCTCTTTGCTTTACTTTGCCTTCTGTTGTTGCAGAAAGAATGAACGTAATAATACCATACCAATCTTCTGTATTATTCTTCTCATTGCTATAATAACTTGGCAGAAACATACTGAGGAAGGGAGAATGTGTGTTGCCTCACAATTTGAGAGTTTCGTCATGGAGAAAGTGGCAGAAGCATGAGGGAGACAGTCACGTCGCGGCCACGGTCAGGGAGTCAAGGGAGAAGAACGCTGCTACTCAACTCGCTGTCTCTTTTCCACAGACATTCCTAGAGGCACGTCACTGAGGGGATTCACAGACATTCCTAGAGGCACATCACTGAGGGGATTCACAGACATTCCTAGAGGCACGTCACTGGGGTGATCACAGACATTCCTAGAGGATGATGAGGTTGACAGGCTCCAAGTGTTGGTAGCATCAGAACTGGGCAGCCTTGATACGGGTAGATTATCCTGCTCTAGTAATGTTAAAAACTAAGTTGATTGAGAGTTGCTTTTGAAGTTCTACCGTCTTCAGAGTCCACTTGGAAACGACAGATGGGTCGGGATTCTGTAACCTGAATGCACACACATTCAAGCTGACATTTCCATATTACCCTCTCCTCAATGAAACTCCAGAGGAAATGTCCCACACTGCAGTGGTAATGGGCAGAGGGGTTGCTGTCCTTTTCCGGTGCTGGGTCTCTTGCCTGAGATGGAGCTGTGGTCTGAGCACAATCTCCTGAGCTTCTTTTATCTTATTCTACTCCCCTCCGGAAGACACATTCCTCATGCTGGGAAAATGGAAATGTGCCCAGGAGATGTGCTTTTTTTTCCCCCTCTTGCTTTAAGGTTTGTAAGAACCGCATTAAACAAACAAACAAACAAAAAACTACCTCGAACTTTCGAGATACTTTGGAATCGGAAATGCAGCTTACTCTGAAAGACCTTTTTTATGGATTGGCATTTCTTCGTGTGCAATCAGATGGTCTCTTTCATATAGGTTGACAAAAATCAATGATGAATTCCTGCCTCCGCTATTGTATATTTCCCCCTTTAAGGTGTGTCTCCCTGAGTATATATGATAGCAAATCTATTTATAGACTGTGTTAAGGACTCTAATCTTAAATGAGAAATGATAACCTGGGCCTACCTTATATTCCCCTCTGATTTGAAAGACAGAAGAAATCCATATATATTCTCATGTGAAAACACCCCTTTCTTCCAGGCCTTGGCGCATCTTCACCTAGTAGAGTATGTGGGAGAGCAGACTGCCTTGCTGATCAAGGTACATTGAATGTTCTAGTAGAATGTGTTCTGGCCACTCGTTTTTGATTTTTGATGAAAGGAAAAAAAGAAAAGAAATGTCTGGTAAGGTTACACTAATTACCTCAATTATGTCCAGAGCACTGAAGGGAGCCTACTTTATCCTCGGGAGCCTAGAGATGAAGGGATACTTTCCTCAAAGGATATATAATTATAGATGCTTGCTATCTTGCTTTGGCCTTTAGTTAAATATGTCTAAGAAGGGGCAGCGCACAGGGAGTGAATGCTACAGAGATTCTTACCTTAGAACTCTGCTAGGCCGCTGAGCAGGAGGGATCTGTCTCTGTGGCCACCAGATGTGGGGATTGAATGCTTGATCCTCAACCTAGAGAGCTACTTGCCTGACAATGGACCCTCTGTTCCCTGTGGCCAAGGTTCCTGGTATGAGTGTGGCTCGGGTTTGCAGGCCTATGCTTACCTTCATCCTATCATGTGTCAGAGGACACCATGTGTGTGTGATTGAGAAGTACAATGGTTAATACGTAGCATGGCCATTATCCGCTCCGGGTTTGCCTGTCTATGCTTACCTTCATCTCATCATCTGTCAGAAGACTCTTTGCATGTGTGGTCGACAAGTCCAGTGGTTAATGAGTAGCATGGTCATTATCTGCTCCTTCTAGATGGTCCCAGAAGATCAGCGCTTGGCAGCTGCCATCGTGCTAATAGTGTGGGTCTCAGCCTTGGCGTCGTCCTTGATTGACAACATCCCATTTACTGCTACGATGGTAAGTTGTGTGTTCCTGGGTGTTTAAGACCCAACCTTAGCCTGCAATCATTCGGGCTCAGCTTTCCTTCCTAAGAAGCGGAGTATGAAACCAGCTCCTCCATTGCTCTTACACATGAGGAAAAAAAAAACGTGAGCTGAGCCCAAGGCAGCTCACATGGGACAAAGAGGCCAATGACAGGCTGGAGATCAGCATCTTCAGAGTGGATACATCATGGGTGACTGTCTGTTTTGGGAGGCCAGTTGAGGGCTGCTACCCCTCCTAGGAAACAAGTGTTTGATTTTTTTTAAAGGGACTTCAAGACACCAAAAGACTGAGTTGTTGCCTTTATTATCTTCAGATGCAGAAATTCCTTATTTGGAGCAGTCTGCATGGGTTCTGATACTTGGCCTATGCAGGGATTTTTTAAAATATTTATTTATTTATTATGTATACAATATTCTGTCTATATGTATGCCTGAAGGCCAGAAGAGGCCACCAGACCTCAGTACAGATGGTTGTGAGCCACCATGTGGTTGCTGGGAATTGAACTCAGGACCTTTGGAAGAGCAAGCAATGCTCTTAACCACTGAGCCATCTCTCTAGCCCTATGCAGGGATTTTTAAGTCTCTATTTGGTTCTACTTTCCAGCCAATACCAAGACCCCCATCCTTGGGACATCTTCTGTGTCACTGATTCTTTGGCTTAGTGCAGGGACTGTGAACCATGGTGAAAAACCATTTATCAGCAATGTTTCATTTCTTCAAAGTAAAACAAACAGAAAGAGCCGAGACAAAGACGGAAGCATATTCAGACTTCTTCATGTGCACGCGAGCTGAGCTCTGTAGGTGTCTGTATATACAGGCGCACCATGGTATAGTTAGATCTCCCCTGGACCCCATCTTGCTTCTCAAATCAACCATGTCTTAATAGAGCAGGTCGTTTTGCAGCTTGACCTCACATATACTTCATCACAGCTTTTTATGGTTTGCTTAAGAGCTGTGCTAGGCACTGAAGGTTTGCCCTTCACGCAATACATTTCCTTTATGCCGAGTAAGGCACCCATCTTCCATACCAGTCTCTCTCACCTGTATCTTGCTCCAATCCTTTATTTTTGGTCTTTTGAGATATTGTTTCTTGGGCTGGAGAAAGAGATCAACAGTTAAGAATACTGGCACCTAGCAGGGCTGTGGTGGCGCACGCCTTTAATCCCAGCACCGGGGAGGCAGAGGCAGGCGGATCTCTGGGAGTTTGAGACCAGCCTGGTGTACAAGAGCTAGTTCCAGGACAGGAACCAAAAAGCTACGGAGAAACCCTGTCTCGAAAAACCAAAAAAAAAAAAAAAAACAAAAAAACAAAAACAAAACAAACAAAAACAAAACAAAACAAAAAAAGAATACTGGCACCCACATTGGTGGCTCACAGTCATCTATGACTCCACTCCTCAGGGATTCAGCCCCCTTTTCAGGCCTCTGATGGCCCCAGGAGTGTTCATGGTGTAAGACATAGTGAAGACAGAACAGGCATGTGCATAAAAATTAAAAATTAGAAAATTGCTTTCAATTTCTCTTAAAAACAGTATGCAAATAGGTTTTTAAAGTTTTCTTTTCCGTTTTTAAAAACTTCTTTATTGAATCTTTGGGTGTTTTGCATCATGTACCCCAATTCTGTTCACCTCCTGGTCCCCCCATACCCCCATCCTGTTGTATCCCCCTCCGCCATGAAAGAAAACAAAACAAAGTAAGCAAGCAGGCAAGCAAATAAAAGCAACAACAACAAACCCAACAGACTAAAACAGAACACAAACCACACCAGGAACATAGAGCTTTCTGCTTTTTCTCTCCTGCTTCTCCATCACCTCTTCATCCTGATGGCATTGGAGGCTTCAGTGTGTCATATAGTAGACCCCTTTGTCCATCAGTCTTACTGGCAACTGTCCATTGCAATTGAACTGGTCTGTTTCAAGGCCTCTGGCTTTTGGTTCACCATCCTCACTAGACTTTTTTTTTTTTTAATTTTCATGTAGATAACCTTAGCAGGTAATGACTTTATTCATAGTATTATAGTGAGGACCATTTAATTTGTAGTGCATATAAAGTAGCATTAGTATTCCAACCTGAAGCAGAGCACAGCAGGTTCACCCTTGGGTGAGTGCAAAGCCAATATGCACACAAGGCAGCAAAAGAATGAGGAAAGGCTTGCTATTTGTGCAAGTAAAAAGAGCACTGGGAAGGCCCCCAAAGCACAGTCTCCTTAAACAAAGGAGACAAAGGGATTTTATTAGGGAAACTCATGCATATTCATGGAGAAACAAAAGAGTCCTGCCTGGCATAAATGGATAAAAATGTGAATTAATCATAGTAGGTTACTTTCCCAAAGTAGCTCTTTATTTACATCCTCTCCAATCTACTCTCCTTCAGGCACTGTGAGTGCTTTACTGTGTCCCTGCCTGTCCCTCCTGCTGGGCCTCCCCTGTCCTGAGACACACCATTGTCTCTGTGGCCCTAGGATGACCCTGCTCACCGGTGCTGGTTCTAGCATCTCCTTGGCCTTTGCTCTGTTGATTTTGCCTCTGGTAGCAGTTCTTTGTCCCTTACCTCTTCCCTTCTCTGTCCTGCCCCCCCTGCCCCGCACATGCACGATTGCTGATGGAGACTGGGAATCCTAGGTTTATGCTTGCAGAGCGTGGTGGCAAGTGCCCCGCAGAGGCTTCCAATCCTGTGGCTTTAGCTCCGCGTGTGGAAGAGGATGCAGTGGTTCTCCGCACTCGAAGGGTCTAAGTGTGGGGTGGGGGTATTGTAGTAAAGAGACTGCGGGCATGGCTGCTCCATAGTTGTTGTTGTCGGTTTTTTTTTTTTATGGTGACTAAGAGAGAGGGAATAATCCAGAGGCAACTGGAGGAGTTCAGAGTAGAGAAAAAGAGAAGGCAGACTAGACATGGTCAGCTCTAGAGAAGTGGAAGAGTGGGAGAGAATAATGGAGACGATGAGAAAGCAAGCCATAGAGACTAGAGCAGACCAGACAGGCAGGCAGGTGGACAGACAGACAGACACACACACACACATGAGAGAGAGAGAGAGAGAGAGAGAGAGAGAGAGAGAGAGAGAACACAACATATGGGATAACAAGAGAGCAAAAGAATATATAGAGAGGCAGCTCGAAAGAGCGAGTGAGCGAGAGAGAGCTAGAAACAGAGTGGAGGAGACATCCTGGGGTCTACATCCTGCGGTCTGTGAGGATGGCTGCGGGAAGGAAAGGGAAGGGCCGAATGCTATCATGGTCTTTGAAATACATAGCAGGTACTTGTGATACTCAGGGAGCCTGGAGGCCAGCATGGGCTGTGATGGTAGGCACCACAGGTGGCCATCTGTCCATCTGCCAGAGGCAAGGGGCTCCTTTGGGAAACTGGAAACCAGTTTCACTAGTTCCTGAGGAAGGCTGGTTTTTATTTAACTACCAGAAATCCTTCTATAGTCCAGCTTGAGCTCATTTCTAGACACGGACAGCCTGAGACCTGACTATGGGGGTGCAGAATTCGTGTGTTAGGTGGAAATCGCCAGCTGCCTGCTTCTGCTTTTGGTTGATTTTTACCTTTGCCGTCAGTGATCAGCTGCCTGGGAACTTTCCATTACTTAAAGAAAGATCAGGGCTTGAGAATCTGTCCCCTCCTTCTTCCCTCCTCCGTGTGTCTGCCTCCAGCAGAACCTTCCCCTGGACCAGCTGTGGTAAGGCAGAGCTTATGCCCCTGGGCTTCCTGGAACTCTCTCTCTCTAGCCTCTCTGTCCAAACCCAGGTGTGTGAAGCGAGCCCCGTCCTCCCACCCCCAAGAAACCACATTCAGTAGTTTTCCTCACCCGTTTGGCTCTGCCCCTCTGACTGATGTGTGAGCATCGGTTCTCCCTGAATGGGTCTCAGTTCTCCTGTTTGAAGAGAGTCCCTTCTGACTAGAAGCACCTTCGCTCTACACAGCTGTGGAGCCTTCTGCATCCAGGGGAACCATACGGAAATGCAGAAACGACCAAAGAGCTGTCAGACACAGCTGCCGTTTGAAGGACGATCAGTTAGTACAGATGCAGTCACAGAGCTAGAGGCCACTTGCTGCAGCAAAGCACCTGCAGGAATTGTTCCCCGAGCACAGTGGTTCTCAACCTTCCTAATGCTGGGAACCCTTAATACAGTTCCTCATGGTGTGGTGACCCCCAGCCATATGACCATTTCATTGCTACTTCATAATTGCAACTTTGCTACTGTTAGGAATCTCAATGTGAATATCTGGTATGGAGATGGTCTTAGGTGACCGCCTCGAAAGGGTCATTCGGCGCCAAGGGGGTCACAACAGACAGGTTAAGAACCCCTGCCTTGGAACAGTGGCTGAGTAATTCTGTTATCCTGAGGACACACGAGAGACAGAAACAATTTCAGCCCGCCTCTTCTTTGTGTTGGGTCTCAGACGGGGACCTCCATTCATCCTGCGACTGCGTACATGTTTGGCAGTGGTATATCTCCTTTCTTCTGTGGGCTGGAAAGGATGTCCTGCCATTGGGAGGGAGAGGATTCCGAGAATTAGCTCACAACTGGTAGGATGCAGCCATGGAAATACTCTTCATGCACAGAGGAAAAACAGTCGTTCAGTAGAGGAGTGGAGGCTTCCATGGTGGTTGGATGAGGCTTCAGGAATATTCTAATCAGAGCAGTATAGATGAAGGTGTCCACGTCCCAGGGTTTGAGATGAACTAAGTTTGTTATTAACTTTTTTTTTTTTTATTTTGAGGCAAGGCTTCACTAAGTTGCCCTGGACCTTTAACTCACTATGTAGACAAGGCTAGCCTTGAACTCTTGAGTCTACCTATTAAATGCTGGAATTAAAGATGTTTACCACTGTGCCTCACTACTTTAGCTATTATTTTATAAAACTGAATTGAAATGTTTCTGACTTTTGTCATTTCTGAGTGTTTCTAGGTCACTGTTGTTATAGACAACACCTGGGTTTAACCCTCTGTTTTAAGCCCTTCCCCTAGTTGCTTGTTGTAAACTGTGAAATATTAAGCAGGACTTAACACTGCTAATATTTAATAATGCAACGAGAACAGCCCTAGAGAATCTGAAGTGGTTAGTACGAGGCCCCTGGTCCTCACCATATGCCAGGGTTAATCCCTTGCTTGCTTGAGATGGAGGAAACACCACATGGTCTTGAGAAATAGAAGACACTGGGGTCTTGGGGTCCAGATATTTCAGTATTTGAGCACACATTGCCATGCCTAGGAACCCCCTTCACACTCACTGGCCTTTTCTTTCTTCCCTTCCTGATGTGGGAGTCCCCTCTGTTTGCTGTGATTACCATTAATGAATAAAGAAACTGCTTTGGACCTATAGCAAGGCAGAACTTAGGTAGGTAGGGAAAGCTAGGCTGAATGCTGGGAGAAAGAAGGGTGGAGTCAGAGAGACACCATCTCTCTGGAGACAGATGCAGAAACTTTACCTGGTAAGCCACAGCCACATGGGGATACTCAGATTAATAGAAATGGCTTAAATTAATATAAGAGTTAGCCGATAAGAAGCTAGAGCTAATGAGCCAAGCAGTGATTTAATACACTTTCTGTGTGATTATTTCGGGTCTAAACTAGCCAGGCTGCCGGGAACCAAAAAGCGGCCCCCTCCAACCTCTTCCAGCCTGCAGTAGGCAAGAGCTTGTGGGAATCTGAGTACAGCCCTTTGGCAGCAGAATTCCTGGGGCTCTGCTATGGTGCCCTCACAACTGCACTGGGGACCTGAGGCACAGGGCTAAGAACTGAGAATTCTCAGACAGTCTTCCTCTGTTGACGCCTCTTCAAACTCCTTGGCTTGCACAGGAAAGAGTCTGTGACAGCTTCAGGCTTAACATATTACCATTTCCCCTCTGGGCTATATGGTGATTTATGCACATAATTTTGTAGTTTTTAAAAACTGATTTCTTGGATACATACAGTTGTGTGCATTGCCATTTAGCCCAGCATGCAAGCCATGCTTTGAAGGCTCTCTGGTTCTTCAGCATCTTCTTATCCCAGGTTTCTTTCCAGGCCCGACGAGGAAGTATTCAAGCAGCTGTAGCTGTTGGCTGGAACAGCTGGTATAGGGAAAAACACTCAGGGGTGATAAAGGTCAAAAGTACTTCATCTGAGTGTTCGCTTTTTGCTTTACACTTGATGCCATTTTTGCTTTTAGCCTTTTCTTTTCTAGAATGTTCAGAAACAAAATAATATAGAGAGCTGAGCCAGGTCCAGTGGACTGCAATTAGGCTAAATAGCAGAGCAGTTACAGGGATGCATGGCTGTGTTTCTGCAGAGGGAGAATCTGGGATTGAATCTCAATATGCCATTTATGGGAGCTAAATAAAGCCGTCTCTAGAGGAGTAGGGATGTGAGCAGCAAAGACACACTGTCTTCTCCATTAGCCTGGCAATGTGGGTTACAGGCCCTTCCCCAATGGGTGGGGATCAGTGAGTCCTCTGGCTAGGGAAGGTGGCCTTGGAAGGATGTCACAGGGCATATTTCTCTCCTTCCTTCCTTCCTTCCTTCCTTCCTTCCTTCCTTCCTCTCTCTCTTCTTCCTACCTCCTCCTCCTTCTCCTTTTCTCCTCCTCCCCCTCCTCCTTCTTCTTTTTCTCCTTCCTCTTCCTCTTCTTCTTCTTCTTCTTCTTCTTCTTCTCTTCTCCTTCCTTCCTTCCTTCCTTCCTTCTTCCTTTCTCCCTCCCTCCCTCCCTCCCTCCCTCCCTCCCTTTCTCTCTCTCTTTCTTTCTTTCTTTCTTTCTTTCTCTTCCTCCTCCTCCTTCTCCTTTTTCTCCTTCTTCACCTTCTTCTCCTCCCTCCTTCTTCTCTTCTCCTTCCTTCCTTTCTTCCTTCCTCTCTCTCTTCTTCCTCCTTCTCCTCCTCCTTCTCCTTTCTCCTCCTCCTCTTCTTTGTCTTCTTCTTCTTCTTCTTCTTCTTCTTCTTCTTCTTCTTCTTCTCCTTCCCTCCCTCCCTCCCTCCCTCCCTCCCTCCTTCCCTCCCTCCCTCCTTCCTTCCTTCCTTCTTGGCTCACAGACTGGCAGTCATGTAGCCAGATTTTGGTCCACACTCTGCAAACCACTGTGTATATTTATTTAGGGGACTAGGATTCTGAGAAAAGGATAATCACAGTATGTCTCAAACACTCAGGGAGAGGATACTTTAAAAACACATCATATATTTCTTACAGAAATGTCACAGACCGACATGTTCCATTGGTTATAATAACACAGATTTTTTTTCCATTAGAAGAGGGCCACTGGCTATTGGTAGAGCTCCCTGGAAACCGATATTTCTGGTTGTAAAGTCTGTTACAAATGCCACAGCTTCAGGACAACTGGGGAGAGCAGCAGTGAGAGGCAGCCTTCCCAGGGTGCAGCTTCTGAGCAGAGACTGTTTTCATGATTTGGTTGCAAATTGTGTCTTCTCATGCCCCACTTCCATGGTCTGTCTGTTTTTTTTTAAATCTCTCTTGTGTATGTGTGTGAGGTGTAACAGTGGTGTGTGTGTGTCTGTGTGGTGTAACAGTGGTGTGTGTGTGCATGTATGTGTGTCTATGTGTGTGTGTATGTGTGTGTCTGTGTGTGTGGTTGGAGATAAACTTGCAGGCGTCAGTTCTCGCCTAACATGTGGTTCTGGGAGCTGAACTTGGGTCAAGGTTTGGCAACAAATGCCCTCTCCCTCTGAGCCGCCTCACCGGCCTGCATCTATCGGCTGAACTGACAGCAGACACACTCCAAGAGTGACTTAATGTAGACGGTGATGATGCTTCAGGAAGAGCGTGTATAAGCGGGGGTTCGTGAACAATGGATTCATGGTTCTTAGGCACCCATCCATAGTGACCCATGGCAGCAGCCTGGGTAGCTTCCAATGAGGAAACCTGGCTCTTCGCTTTGGACCAGACATAGGCAGATGGGTACACACTCAAGGTTTTGTGCATGTCAAAATTTGCTTTGACTTCTTTCCATGCATCTGGTGCTCCTTTTAGAAAAAAAAATTATATATATATAATATATATAAAATAATACATTAACAGTTTGGCTATTAAAAATTCTGTGAGGGCCAGTGAGATAGCTTAGTGGATAAAGACACTTGCCACCCAAGAATATAAGCCTGAGAACTTGAGTTTTATCCCCAGAAGCCACGTGAAGTTGGAAGGAAAGAACTGACTCCATTCCACAAGGTTGGCCTTCCACACTTTTGCTGTGATACTGCCACCCCGCCATACACACACACACACACACACACACACACACACCACCACCAACAACAACAAAATGATAATAATAATAACAATAGCAAAACAAGGCCGCTCACGTTCTGCAAGTCTGGGTGTGTAGCTCTCACGGTCTCTATGATAGGTGGCTGCAATGTTCCTTTCTTCCACAGATCCCTGTGCTTCTTAACCTGGGCCAAGACCCTGACATTCGTTTACCTGCGCTGCCGCTCATGTATGCCCTGGCCCTCGGCGCTTGCCTGGGAGGTAAGGGGTGCTGACTTCATTGTGAGGAACCACACTGGCACCGTGGGGGCGGACAGAGAAAGAGCTGGTAGCTAGCAAATCAAAGGTGAATTCAAGAGAAGCCTGATAATTTCCTGACTTCAAAATCTGAACAACCAGAACTCCTCCGTTCCTCTGTAAAGTCAGTCAGCGTTTGCCATGTCCTGGCATGGCTTTGGGTCCTGGAACCTTAATTAGGAGCAGCAATGAGATGGTCTGGACTCTCAGATAAAGAAGTTTTAGTACCTGGGAAACTCAGAGCTTGTTATATACAGTTGGACAGGGAGGCGGGGTTATTCCATACATCTGATCGAGGAGGTGGGGTTAGCTAATATGGGTAGGAGCAGTCTCTGTAGGGAAACAGTCTTCGGGATGGAAACATCGAGGGGGAAAGCTACCGTGGGCATTTTCCTTACACATGGTTATCTTTCACATTTAGATTAGAGGGAGGCCTCGCCTCCCTTTGAGCCCCTCCCAGGGGAAGGCTTTATCATGGCACGTGTCTGAGGCGTTGGTGCCCACGTCAGCTACAGATTTATTCATGATTTCACTTGTTCCCTACAACTTCTCACCATGCAGGGCCCGTGGTCTGATGACGGTCACTGCTGATATAGTTCAAAGCTAGCTAGCATGCCCCCACTCCGCGCCTCTAGGCAGCATCCTATGCAATCAGCAGAATCTGTAGTGGCTGGTCTTTCTCTCTGGGCTCCACTGCCTAGAAGCATTGCGTGGGTGAGCAGGGACTCCACCGAAGAGGAGAAGGGACGATGAGAGACCAAGCACAAGCACTGGGGATGACATCTGAGGAAACAGTGTGAGGTAGAGGTTGTTAGGTGGAACTGACCGCTGGGTAACACACGAGGGCTCCGGCGGTAGCTGTCTAGAGCCAGGTCGATCTAGAGTTCTCGTATTCGGACAGCTTAATCACCTGGGGAACACAGGTGGATTATAGAGACTCTTAGATAAACAGAGCAGATATATATATATATCTCAAACATTCTTTGTTGCCTCCAGACATGCCCAGATAATCTAGCTTTTTGTGTTCTTTGACTTCTCAGACTATCAAATCGATAGCATTCTGGTTCATTTATCTGCTCATTTGTGAGGTGGGATTTAACCTCAGCTAGTGAGGCACCTAAGACTTCAGGAGACAGCTGATTTATCTAATGCAGTGACTGAGACGGAATCCTACAAAAGGGCAGAATAATTAAAATTTTCCCATCAGAGAAACAGCTCCAGAAAACAACAACCGAGTTTCTTTCATAGACACATTTAACACCAGCAATGGAAACAAGATCCAAGAACACTTGCGAATTCAGCCCTTAAATGGGATTTTAAAATAAATGCAAACATATGAATTACCTGCTATAATAGCCTGGCATTGTGCTGTAGGAGGGGAGCCAGGCACTGGGCCTAAGATTATAACAATGGGTGTGTTCACAATGGGTATGTTCTCACACAGTGGGAGACCCGGAGCACATGCAGAATGCCAGGGAGAGACCACAGTCAGGGGAGAGAGCAGTTAGAAAAGGTGACCCAAGGGAAGGGGTTGGAACAGGAGACCTCCTGGGCTACTTCCTGACGGGTAAACTTGGAGGGGGCCTCCAGGAGAGACACTAAGAGGGACTAATATAGACAAATATGCTAATGTATGCTAGAGACTGAGCACCTCTGGGAAGCAGGCATTCGTTACTGAACTGTAAGCTTTTAAGCCCTGAGAACGTTTAGACAGAGTCGTTGGAAGGTGCTCATTCCTGGCCCACTGAACACTTAATGTGCTGGGTGTTAAGTGTACACCAACTCTGCTCACTGACAGGATTGTATGATACAAAATAACTAACATAAAAGTTACCCTCTGAGCCATGTTGAAGGGTCACCAGAAACATTTTCAACACACTTTTGTAATGTCATTCATACCCAGTTCCATAGCTCTTTCCACCACTTTAAAACTCCAAAAGGAAGCAGTAGCTTCATGAGCCCCTGGTTTAACAATTTTGATGGACACTTTCAGTGGAAGTTTTTGATTGGCTTTGAAAATAAATGTATTGCCCTGTGAACTAAGGAACACAGACCAGGCAGTTGGAACTAAAACATATTTTACTTGTCTGACTACCGTGGCTGCTTTTTCTGTGGCCGTCATAAAGAACTCCGACAAGGGCAACTTATTGGAAGGAGCATTTATTCTTGCTCACAGTTCGAGGTACAATCATCAGTCATGGTGGGGAATCAGGGTAACGGGAACTGGCATTGTCTGCTGGCTGGTTTTATGTCAACTAGACATAAGCTAAGGTCATCAGTGAGGACAGAGCTTGAGCAAATGCCTCTGTAAGATCAGGCTGTAGGCAAGCCTGTAGGTCATTTTCTTAATTAGTGATTGATACAGGAGGGCCCAGCCCATCATAGGTGGTATCACCTCTGGGCTGGTGGTCCTGGGTTTTCTAAAAAAGCAGTTTGAGCAAGCCATGGTGAGCAAGCCAGGAAGCAGCATTCCTCCATGGCTTCTGCATCAGTTCCTGCCTCCAAGTTCCTATCCTGTTGGAGTTCCTGCCTCAGCTTCCTTCAGGATGGAAGTGTCAGCCAAATAGACCTTTTTCTCCCCAACTAGCCTTTGGTCATAGTGTTCATCACAGCAATAGAAAACCTAGAAACCCTATGACACAGTGCCTGGTCAGGTTCGGTTGGCGGTCAGGCGGCAGAGAACTATGAGTTCTGCTGCTCAACTCTCCTTGCCACTTACACAGACCGGGATCCCAGCCAGGGTAAGGCGATACCCATAGTGGGTGGGTCTTCCTTCCTTAATTAAAAGTCAGCATAATCTCCCCCCTACACATCCAGAGGCATATCAACCCAGGTGGTTTTGGGTTCTGTAAGGTTGACAATTAAAACTAATGATCACATTTGGCAAGAAGGCAGTCTCATTTGTCAGGCCTCTAGGCCCAAAATGGGACTAGACAGACATACAGACAGACATACAGACAGACAGACAGACAGAAAGGTGATAGTGTGGCTACATCTGAGAATAACACCTAGGAAGGTGGTCTGGGCCGGCAAAACAATGACTTGTACATTGCTACCTGGTCCAGACCCTTCGGATGCTCTGTGTCTACCCATGAGAACCCTAGACATCCTTAAGCTCCTCCTCTTTAATGTCGCTCTGGAGTCCGAAGCCTTGGTTCAAGTTCAGGACTTGTCACCTGTCCCCGGACACCACAGCAGCAAGCTTTTCAGTCTCCCTCACAGTGCTTCCTTTGTGAGGACACTGGAGCCCTTCCGTCTCTCTGTTTTGAAGTTTCCGGTTTCGGAAGCATAATGCCCTCCTGCTCGCACACTGCAGTGGCTCCGGAGCAGGGTTCTCTGCTCACTAACTCTCAAGGTTAGCTCTTCCTCTACTGTCCAGGCGCTGATGTCAGACCTGAGCTAAGCTGATGGGGCCTCGGCTGTGTACTTGAATACCAATGGCTCCAATTAGGCAGAAAGAAGAGGCTCTTGGGCTTGGCTGTGTAAGACTTTCTTGAACGAATCGCTGTGTGTCGGGGAGGAGAAAGGGTAGGAAGAAGGACCTGATGGGATTGCCTTGGTGGTTTGCTCCACCCGGACTGTGAGGGCTGGCATAAGAGCCTGTGTGCACAGCATGTCCTTTCCCACCGTTTGCACACAAAGAAAGCTTACTCAAGGAAATGTTTACGTGAAGAAAATGCCTACCAATGAGCAAAATTGGCTTATGCAAAAGTTTCACCTGATGTTACCAATCCCTTTCATTTGCTGAAAGAATTTCTTAGCAGATATCTGAGCCTAGAGTCCAGAGGTTTCTGGCTAAGATCTTGCTACATTGTTTTAAAAAGGACACACACGGTTGTTTGCTTTGCTTGCGTTTTTCTCTATAAGATGCCTATTACCTGATTCCAACTGGGACCTTTTCAAAGAGATAACCCACTATCTGACTGGCAGTGTGTTTGTGATTCCAGACATTCCAAAGCATTGACTTTGATGGTTATCATGACATCGCAGCCTTTGAACAGAAGAAAAGAGCAACGATCAGTTTCCACGATGAGCTTGGCTGTTACTTTCTTTTCTGATTTCTGATTCCAGGTAACGGGACACTGATCGGAGCCTCTGCCAACGTTGTTTGTGCAGGAATTGCAGAGCAGCATGGGTATGGATTCTCTTTCATGGACTTTTTCAGGTACTTTGTCATTTAAGATGTCTCTTCAATACCATGTTCTTAAACTAACTGAATTAAAAAAGTGCACCAATGCATGCCGCTAACCACCGGGATATTCATGGTTTGGTGATTAGAGACTCTGGTGCAGGTGAGACCAGCTCAGAACAAGGCACATCGGTTACTAAGATTAGCTTCATCTTAATCTGAATGCTTTGGGTTGATTCGATGGCTAAGAAAGGGTTGTAAGCTTGCTGGACTCTTCTTGATTTTATGCGTTGAAAGTGTAGTGGGAACAGGTCATTAAGGTGGGGAGTGCATTAGAGAAAAGATGCTAGCAAGGGCCTGGGGCCTGCGCGCCTCTGTTTCCATGGCCCGTGTGTACTTTTCAAACAGAGAAGGAAGAGGAATGGAAACCAATGGCCAGTGTGAAATAGTCCTACCGAAATGACCTGTATTTGGTGTTGAGTCATAAAACTGCAGCTTGGTATATGCCCAGGAACAGACTTCTGCCAACTCTCATGTGAGGAATTCTAACATGTGTTACCAAGAGACAGACAGACTCTATGGCTCTCAGAGACAGTTATCCCTACCCTAGAAGCTTGTTCCTCTGCAAGGAAATTCTTGCCCAGGTCTGAGCTTGAGCAAGAGCCCCGGTTGTCAAACCTCCTTGAGGACTAAGAGTGGTGTCTTAGTCTATGTAATATGCAAGACTCCCTGGAGGACCAGATAAGCTTACAGAATGGGTACGGTCACAGGGAAACCACGGTTAACTGCAGAGTGGAGAGTCTCAGAACCCAGTGATTTCTCTGCCTGTGAGATGAATGCGAGCCTCTGAAGTTCAAATCTGGCACTGAAGGCCTAGAAGATTCCCAGAGAGTCACTGGTATCCAGTTCCTATTAGAAGGCAAAAGGAGCTGGAGTCCACTGTCTGCAGTGACTAGCGAGCTATGCTTGCTTAGGAAGAAGTGAAAGCAGGGTAAGGCAAATTCTTTTTCCTTGGGCCCTTTTATATGTGAACTAGGGGTCAAGCCACTTCAAGGGTTGACCCGCCCTTCAAGTAATTCCTCTTTGGAAATGCCCTCACAGACATATCCTGAGTTGTTACTCTTATGCAATTCTAAATCCAGTCAAGCCAATGATATTCAACCACATCTCCTTAAGGCCTCCAAATTATGATAATGGCAGCATTGTAACTACTCCTAAGATGATATAGGTATCCCCTATACAATGGGGAATTCACTAATTCTTTCCACAGAATATGTGACGTCTTTTGAGGAATACTTACTCTTTGCATATCCCATAAGTTAAATACGATAATATAGATTTAACAATACTGAAGTACTGATAGTTGATGTTATGTTATGTGGTAAAAGAATAGAAGGGCAAAAACATGGATATTTACTTACTATGTTAATATATATATACACAAACATACTCCCCTTTAAACTTTACCGTATTTTATGTGTGTGTTTTGCCTGTGTATTTTTATGTGCTGCACAAGTATATCTAGTACTTAAGGAAATCAACATAGGACAATGGTTCTTTTGGAACCGGGGTTATAGATAGCTGTGAGTGTTGGGAATTGATCCTGGGGTCTCTGCAAAATAAGTACGCTTAACCACTAAGCCATCTTTCCATCCCTACAAACACATTTTTAACAAAACAGAAAAGACACGTTCATAGCATTTATGTTCCTTTATCGTACTGTTTGGATCGGGTTGTATTTCCCATTGAACTTAACCAGAAGGCTCAGTAGTCCTAAGTAATGCCCTATAAATTGCCTGTACTCCCTATATAATCTCACTTCTGTTGTGTGACAGAAGTCCAGTTGCCTACAGGTCAGCTGCATCAATCACACCTGACATTACTCTGACTCCTACTTTATCTTGTTGACTCAAGGACATAAAGAATCCAAAGTAACCACGGGGAAGTCTCAGCGTTCAATGTAGTGGAGATAATATCATGCTTCCTTCTAGGAACCATGTGTTCTAGGCCAGCAGAGACAAAGGCTGTTGGATAAGAAATAACGGTTGTGCTAGTGTGTGACTTTATTCACAGCTGTCTCATCACATGCGACCCAGCCAGTTCAAGTTTAACGCTCTCCTTAATATTTAAGTTCCAACACTTCTAAAGTCTAAAGTTTCTTCTGGGATTAAAAAGAAACGTGTAGTTAAGAGCCTGTGTAAAACCCAAAAGTAAGTTATGTACTTTTTTTTTCTTTTATTTTTTTCCATTTTTTTATTGAGAAAAGGAGAAAAAAAAAACAAACAAGTTTCCACCTCCTCCCAGCCTCCCATATCCCTCCCCCTCCTCCCGCCCTTCTCCCCCTCCTCCCACTTTTGATATATAACAGCACAGAATAAATAACCTGATTCTCAAACGATACAAAGGAAAGACAGACCCTTCCTAGAAACAGCCCCAGGCCTGGCATCTAGAACCCCAGATGGCATGATGCATGCTCTGCCTGCTTTGCTGAGCTTGGCCCCTGCAGCTCTGTTCACATGGTTTGTCTCTTGGGCCAGGCAATTCATGGCCTTGGGCTTTGCTTTGTAAATGCCACACACATTTCTGGAATCTATGGATCCCTTGGTGTTGTGGCTGAAACTTAGGCTTCAAGTTGATCGAGTCTTCATTCAGAGAACTCAACCCTGCCTGACATTCCTGTAACTCACAGCCTTCTGAAGCTTTGGGCAAGAGCTTTCATAACCCATACCCTTTGCTCGTGTAGACCTACAAAGTCACCTCAGTGTGGGCGACGATTTCAAGTTCTGTTGCCGCTAGTGACGCCATCGGCCTCTTCCTATTAGAGCTTTCATGGTCATGAGCGCTGAGGCAGCTGAACCTGGGTCAAAAACCTTCTGGGAAGTTGTTCGTGAGTAGGGAGCCTCTCGGTAGCATTCTCAGGCCCCTTTCCAACAAATTTGCCCTGCAGCCTTTGTTGGGCCCCTGCTGTTTGGACACTGTTGTCAGCCTGGGGTCACCCGCAAAAAATGGTAATCTTTTTGACATCGTAACTCTTTTGTCAGAACCTGTCTTGTTGGAGACATTAAACTTATTTAAGATTCTTTAATTACCAAACTGTATTTTCTCTATTTTTTTTTTTTGCTCTACTTTTCTGTTAATTGTAAACCTGGCTAAGTCACTGTAGCCCTAAGGTTATCCTGTCTTGAAATTTTCTCTAGCAGGCAAACCAGTCCATTGCTTTGAAATTTGGCTTCATGAGAAATTTTAACAAGTGGGGAAAATCCCGTCAGATGTTCTGTTACAATGTCACACAAGGGACCTGCAGTGTGATTTCCGTCAGAGTCCTCTTTCCCCGAAATCTCACTAACACTGCTATCAGTATCTGTATTGCTACCAGCATTCTCCTGCGGTCCCAGCAGAATGATCCAGGAAGATCTGCTGACAGCAGTCTGGAACATCTCTAGGTCACAGCTCCAAGTTTGGAAACATCTCTAGGTCATAGCTCCAAGCACGGGAACATCTCTAGGTCACAGCTCCAAGCTCGGGAACATCTCTAGGTCATAGCTCCAAGCACGGGAACATCTCTAGGTCACAGCTCCAAGCTTGGGAACATCTCTAGGTAACAGCTCCAAGTTCGGGAACATCTCTAGGTCATAGCTCCAAGCACGGGAACATCTCTAGGTCACAGCTCCAAGTTCGGGAACATCTCTAGGTCACAGCTCCAAGCTCGGGAACATCTCTAGGTCACAGCTCCAAGTTCGGGAACATCTCTAGGTCATAGCTCCAAGCACGGGAACATCTCTAGGTCATAGCTCCAAGCTTGGGAACATCTCTAGGTCACAGCTCACACGTTCTCCCACACACAAGCCACCACAAACAACAAACTCCGTACCTAATTTATTAGATTAGTGTGCACACGAGGCCTTGGTTATCTAGCCATGGCCACCTGCACACCAGAGAGGCACAGCACACACTGGTTACTCGGCTCACGAAGCTGAATCGTTCATCCCTTCCAATCCGATGCCAAAGGCCTGCTCGTTCCCGGAGAGCCACCATGCTTAGTCTGCATCCAAAGACTGATGTCTGCAGAGGATCACAGCATCAATGACAGACACAGCTGCTCAGAAAGACATGAGGGCAGGTACGCGGGCGCTGCTTCTTCTGAAAACCCCTTTCCATACTCAGGGTTTGGAAGGTTTTGCCCACTGTGAGGTCAATTTTCCTTCCTCAGGTTACCTTGTCTGGAATGTGCTTATGGACATACCTAGAGGTGTATTTTCTAGGTCATTCTAGCAGTCAAAACCAATTGTATTTTCTATTGCTGTATCACAACATACAAGACCGGGTAACATGCAAAATAATGGAGGTTTGTTTAGCTCAGAATTCTGGAGGCTGAATATCTAAGGCATCGGTCATTGAATCTGCTTGGCATCCGGTGAAAGGCCTGCTTGGTACATAATAACATGGAAAAGGGCATCACAAGCTGAGACAGGGCAAGTGTGTCAGAGAGCATTTATTTTTCTTTTATAACAAAGCCATTTCCTCAACAGTACATCAATTTATTGATGCACGAGGTCATTCCATTTAAGAGAGGAGACTCCAGATGGCTCAGTCACCTCCCAGTGGCAAGAGATCATTCCATTTAATGACTCAGTCACCTCCCAGTGACGTCACCTCCAAACATTTAACATATGAATTTGGAGATTTAAAATTTCAGCCAATGAGACTTTGAGGGACATAGTCCAAAATAGTAAGTTGTCCTCGTATAAAAAAGAATGATAACTTTGGGGAGATATATTATATTAGACATTTCACCAGTTTATGAGAAACGAGCAAGATTGTAAATTTTTCCAAGACATTAACTTGAATGACACTTGTGGAAGACTGAGATACGGGCAAGAGACAGCGAGCAGGTGCTCAAACCAGCGTAGGCTCTAATTGTACATCTTCCAACTGGACTCTGGGCACATCGCTGATCCCGTGAGCGGGTGTTCAAACCAGTGTAGGTGCTAATATCTTCAGTGCAAAGTTTAATGCTCCAATTCATTCCTGTTCAG